GGTTGTCAATCACCGTTAAACCAGATCCAGAACCCAAGAGAAGTGAGAAAAAAATAAGCCAAAAGTCAGCTTTGATCAAAGCTTGTGTCAATGTGAAGTCCTCCCCTCTATGCGGACCGCTCCTCCTCTTAACCCTAACTGCTCCATCGGCAGCTGCTTGGAATAGTTTCGATTGCAATTGAGCAATTCGTTTTTGCCTTTCGGATGCTGGAAGTAAGTCCATTTCCTTAGGCTTCTCGTCTTCCACCTCACTAAATATTACCTCATTTGCATCGTGCCCAGATTTCCCGCGGTCTTGTGTCTGTGGCTCGGGTAGGAGTGCCTCTTCTTCTAGAGATCTTGCCTCGGAGGAAATGCTCAACGAAATGGGAATCACAATGGGAATCAACAGGAGCACAAACAAAACCGCTGTAAATATAACCATCACGGTGTGGCTCAAATCAATTAGATCTTCAACTAGCATGACCCCCATCAAATAAGCAGCTAATAGGAGGCACAGGCTATAAATAAACGTGAAGCTCATGGCATCGGTTGGCCGGACTTGTCTGTGACCTCCAACTGGTCTGACTATAAACATTAATGCAATAACCACCATTGCTGGACCAACCGCAACCATGAAAATCAAAGATGCATGGTCTGGGGAATGGATCATCACATATATCTGAGTCAGAATTGCGCCGCTCAACCCAGCAAAGCCCTTGAGTATTCCAACCACGGGACCCCGACTTTTTGGGAAGTTTTGCACACAAGAGACCAGAGCAACTGTGTTGAAGAAGGTCTCGCCGTTTGTTCCCACGAATATAAGAATGCACATCTGCGAAATTGAAAATTGTATTTGTTAAAGATTAAACCAAGGCAAGAAAGATGATAGAAAGTAACAGGACTCCGTCTTATCAACTCAACTTCTCAAACCATATATACCAAGAAACACTCTATCCATTTCCAGAGTTTCAATCAGTATATATCCGCAAAATGAACAAAAAGAAGTGATTTTCGCACTCTCCTTTTTCTCCGCCTACCCTCCTCCCTCTCTTTTAGCCTTTGGATTGGATTACCAAAGGAAATAAAGAGACATAAATAGGGCAAAGAGTGCAGAACAAGAAAAAGGGAGTGAGAAAATCACCAAATACCATCCACAACGGCAAAACACACGATCAAGCAATAAAAAAAAAAGTAACTAAAGTAAAAGAAATACAAGAAAAGCAAAGAACTTTGGTTTGATATGATACTCACAGCCCACAAGTTCAACGAAGGAGCTCGACCAGTAACAACAAGCCACACCCAACCGTACCCAACAAAATTCATCAGAGCGCCAACGAGCAGCGCCGCCCACAGAGGCAGCACCTCGCACAAACTCCCCGCCAAAAACCCAACGCTGTCCCCGAGATCTTTAGCCACCCCCAGCCGCGAAATCTGCCGCTGATTGTAGTCCATGGAGCTCTTGATCACCGGCGATATGCTCCCGAACAAGTAGCCGATTCCCGCACAGGACTGCACCCACATTGCCGCCACGAAAACCAGCCATCGGTTGCTGAAGAAGGACCGCAGCTTCTCCTGCACCCGACCCATCACAGAAAAGTGATATTTTCGATGATTTTCAGTTAAAGAGATGATTTTTTTTGTTGGGTTTTTATTTATTCACAATTTATGAGAAGATTAGGAGGAGGAAGAAGAAGAAGATATGTATTCCGGTGACGGTAGTAGGCTGGGGGCGGCTGATGGTGCTGTGCTGGTCTGGGACACTCAGTGACAGGTTTTTATATTAATTTAAATTTGTCCATGTGACTGAAAATTTGTCGATCTGTCGATCTTTCATTGGTTCGTGGATACCCGTACCAGCGAATTTTGAGAAAATTAAGAATAACGATAACCAAACAAAGTGCAGCCTTTTGCGATGAAGTAGGTTGTCGTTTTAGCATTTGTTGCATAAGGAAGTGCTGCGTAACATGCGGTCGGTGGACTAGCTTATAAAAAAATGGAAAAGGAAAACGACATGGACCATGTGGTCTGCTCTTTATTCTTCCACTTGATGAATTATGTCGTTTCCTCAATAATTATGTAAGGGACATGGATCTGGGGATTCGGATCCATGTATCTTAATCCATTAAATTCATATATTCAAACCATTGAAATTTGATCAAACGGTTAAAGTTATTATAACTTTTAAAATAAGTCATTGTTTATAGCCGTTTGATTAAATTTCAATGATCCGGATACATGAATTTAATGGATTATGATACATGGATACGAAAAGAACTCATGTCCTTATGTAAGGACCCCAGTTAATATTTTGCTTGATCATGACTAGTAATATACTAATATACTAATCCTGAAATAATTAGAAAATAATATTTTTCGATATCTTCTTATTAAGTAGTTGTCTTTCTCATTGGTATCAATCCAAAATGAACGAGCAGAGTCGCATCTTCGAATAATGATCACATGACTACATGTCAGAAGAATCATCTCATTACATTCAACCCTCATGAACTCTTTTGTTCAAGCTTAGCTTGATGGTTTGCTTTAAAGTTTATGCGGAGTTCCGATGTATATGGGTGTAAGGAATCACTTAGATACAATGTTATAGTGGCTGAAAGGTAGTTATCTTTTATGACGGTATTTCATATTAGTAAATAACTTTAGAAGTAAGAGAGTGAACAAGATTCTAAAATCTTCATTGATAATATTAATTTTGGGTATGAGATTCTCTCTCTCTCTTTTTTTTTTTTTATTGAATTGGAAGCAATGTATTCATTAATCAAACTCATGAAGAGTTACATATGTCTTGGAATAGAAGCTCCTGAATAAGAATAGGAGGCTCCTCAAACCAAACTAAATTATTGCTACTAAACAAAGCAAACTTCGCAAGCCGGTGTGCAACACCATTACATAAGCGAGAGACATGAATAAACCTCACCATAGGGAAAGTGGATGCTAGCTGCAGTACATTGTCCGCTATCATACTAATCGTTGATGAGTCTGAATGAGTCTGATTGAGAGTTGCAATGGCCTTCATGTAGTCACTCTCTACCACGACCTGTTGGGAGCCTTGCTGCTGAGCCATCTGCAAGCCATACCTCACTGCATACAGCTCCAATATCAGCACCACCTCCACACCACTCAACTTGTCTTGATTATTCAGTGCCACCCACATGTGAGTCGGGGTAGACCATTGTGGGTGGGGTAGAGAGGCCCACCATGGTATGAGATTCTCTTAATCAATGATATTTAACGTGTGAATTTTTATTTTGAAAATTTATGTTTTTCGTCATATTTTTCGTGAAACTAACTTTATAGTGGATATTATAAAAGTAAAAAATAATCTAAATTAATTTCAAATTTAATTGTGGCTTGTGCGTGCTCATGGATTTTTTTACTTTGTAATTTTTATAAACAAATAAAACTATCAAAAAACCAAAAAAGATGTTTAATAAAAGAAAGATGAGGTAAGAAATACATCCAGGCACTTCATAACAAGAATGTCGATATGTCCGAGTGGTTAAGGAGACAGACTTGAAATCTGTTGGGCTTCGCCCGCGCAGGTTCGAACCCTGCTGTCGACGATTTTCTTTTTCATTATACATATTTTATTATTTGGGCTCGGCCCACATCCATTTGTCCAGTTGGGTTTGTTGGCTTTGCATCTTTGGGCTCATTTGAGCTAATAGTCTATTTTTTTCGTTTATTAATACAAAATTAAGAACGCCTCTAAAGGAGATGTTAAATTTTTAAACATCAAAATGATAGTTGATAGCTTATGTGGTAATTTGACATTTTGTACAATATTTTGCTCCATCCGATATGTCAAATAATAATGTCATTTAATAAATTTTTTTATCTTTTGTGGAGTCCAATGATTAAAGCAACCAATCAAATATTTAAAAAATACAACAACATTTATTATATATTATATTAATTTCTTAAAATCTCATTTCATAAATTTGACATTTACTGTCAAATTTGACAGTAAAGGGCTTTGCCTTCAAATGACTCAGCGCCACCTAAGAAATTGAAGGCTCGTTTGGAGAGAGTTTGTTGCCATTTTTTAGTGTTGTATGCCTATGTAGCAATTTTGACATCTCCTTTAAAGATGCTCTAAAGATAGTAGATAATCTTAGACAACGGAGTATATGGTATTTACTATTTACCTATAAAGATTTTGGTCTTTGTTGGGTAATATTTGGATGCAAGCAATATAGTCAGGAAAAATCGAACTCAAGACCTTGTGGGGAGGGAAATTTGAACTTAGGCTCACTCGATTAACTAGAGTTGGTCATTTTAACCCCTCCAGTTGATCTAAGTCACCAAAAATTTGAACTCGGGATACTTCGGTTGAAGCAGATTGATCTTTGCCGGTATTCCAATTATATATCCGTATGTGACTGGCCGGTAAAACCCGGCCACAAGGCAACAAAGGTCTTTTTGTTAAATACCAAATTGATCTCTTAAGCAATTGAAAAGTGTCTTTGAGATCCAAATGCTTCACCAGAATCAAATTTGGTTGAAAGAAAGGGGGCCAATACTTAATAGGATTTCAGAAAAGGAATAGGAAAACAACTATTTTTATACATAATGCCTCAGTGACAAGAAAGCTCCCTACCATCAATCTTATTATCTCAATTTCTAATGGTTCTTAAAAAACACTGACATCAGAAGTCGGGTTAAACTAATGAGAGATTCTTAAATGCTACTGACTGTATAATTAAGAATTCATCGCTATGATTACATGACACAAGAGATATAAATACATAATAGTAAGATATGTATTTTCTGTAAATTGTGGGTATCAGCATCTACGGCAAAAGTACAGTTGAGTAGCATTCTTGTAGGGTTTTGTTGTCATGCGGGAAGCTTCCTTTAATTAGGATGCACGTGATGTGAGGTGTAAACTACCAAAGTACTAGAAAATGTGAATGTGGATTTTTTTTTTTTTAATTTTTTAATTTTAGGGTCGGAAAATTGAACCCAGAACGCGTCGCGTAAAATTCGGATCAGGAATTCATTTCCAACCATTGAGCCACGCTATGGTTGTTGTGAATGTGGAAATTGGAATAGCTTGATACTCTAACCTTACACTTAACCTTTTCTCCCTAGTCATCAATCCCTTGTCTCTTCCTCCCAAATGCTCAACTTTATAATCATGCATACCTTTCATCTTTCTTTCCCTCGTACCATTACCAAACAATCCTTATCCCACTCATTATACCAGCAAATCACAATCAGATCACAGCTAACACACATTTCTTAAGTTTTGGGAGAGGTCAAGCGATCAAGCGCGTGACATATCGAAGGAAGAAGATGTCGGATTGGGGGCCGGTTTTCATAGCAGTGCTTTTGTTTGTACTGTTGACACCAGGACTGCTGATTCAGATGCCGGGAAAGAGCCGGTTTGTGGAGTTCGGAAACTTTCAGACGAGTGGAGTGTCCATACTGGTTCATTCCATAATCTACTTTGCTCTCATTTGCATCTTCTTATTAGCCATTGGTGTCCACATGTATTTTGGCTCTTAATTATCACTTGGTTGCACCAGTGTATTATCCCTTAATTTGCTTGTTTGTCTCTGCATCTGGATTTGATCTTGTACTAATGTTTGGATTTTCCTTCCTTCGTTTCGGAGATTTAAATTGCTCGTTAGGATCGTGTTCATTGTTAAATGATAGTCAAGTAGTGAAGGTAAAGATTTCTCTCCGTCTACATTGTTTGTGCCGTTGATTTTTAGGTTTGCTGGGTGCTGGATTTTAACAAGAAACATCAGTACAGATGGTCAAATAATTCGTATAATTTTCTGTTTTATAACCATTTAACGACATGTGATTCAGAATCTGTGGATAGGTCATCAAAACACGCTAGCTTAATCAGTAGCTGAGCCGAGAATTATGCGAATATTTAGCGTAGAATTAACCGAAGTTTCTAAGAATTAAAGCAACGAGCTTAATTAATTAGCCTCCATGTTCCTTCTAGGTGAGTTCCTAGCTAAGGCTTTAACTGGGGAACTTCTAAATTGATTAACCAACTAAACAAAATTAATTAAACGGAAAAAATGTGAAATAATATGCTGATCTCTCCGTTACATGTCTAAGATCATGTTTATTGCTGAGATCCTTGTTAGCGATATTTCATCATGAAATAATTACATTTATGCAGATTATGGAAGGTAAATGAAAGCATAAAGACCCTTGAAAAATAGAAAGATTGGTATGAGTTCTTCATTTCACATAGCAGAATTCAGGAAGGTAAAATGGTAAATAGAAAATAGTAAATAAAAGCAAGTAAAACTACAGAATTAACTCCACCCTTCAGCTGGTGTGCCAAAACCACAACATTTCTTGGATCCTAAGCATAGATGTGAATGTCAAGAATAACGAGAAACAGAATGATGAGCAAACCATAGATCACGGCGTGCAACAATATCGATGCGATGCTCGTTTTCATGTTCATGAGTTCGAAGGGACGTTCCCTGCCGGGCATCTGAAACACCAATCCTGGCGACAGAAACGCAAATAGCGCGGATGCTATCAGCGGAGCTGCCCAATTTTTCATTGTCAAAACAAGATGTCACAGCAGAAGAATAAGGGAGGAGGAGGAGGAGGGGAAGAATGTAGCAAAAGTGTATAAAAAAAAAGGAGCTTTAGATGCTTTATAATTTGGATTTATGCCCTTGAAAGAGGGGAATAAGAATCCCTTAAAGCTAGAAAGAACATATTTATTCCACTTTAATTAGCCTTTTTATTTGAATTTTAACTGCTTTGTTGTTGCAGTTGTTAAATTGTTTAAGTAGAAATGAGATGTTTGATTAGAGGAAATTCTAGAATACAGCAGATCATCTCATCTTTATGATTATTACTAGTACAAAAATATTTCATCGAAACCATGTCCCTGCATTCCAATCTCATCCACCATTCTCTCAATCACACCTTTTAAATTTTGAGTGGACAATTACTTTATCTAAACCGTGTTCTCGACGCACTCAAAGTTTTATCGTCTAAAAAGCTCGAAGTTTTACAACCACATTTCAATGTCCGCTAAGGATTTGTCAAAGATGTAAAGAATAATTAAAAAAATAAAAGCTTTGAACTAGTGGATGGTGGGTCCAGATTGCACAAATCTACTCTGTAACCCAAAGCAGAGAATCGAACCTTCATCAGTAGCCAGTGGGCTAGTAGCTTCCTTGTCTCCACTGCTCGCCATGGTTGCTTGAAAATTACAATCACAAAATTACAAAATCGTTTCCCAAATTCCGAATCCCAAGTGTCACTCTCGCTCACTCAAAAACCCTAATAAAATACGCAAAGCAATTCATCCCCAATTCCTCCATTTCGTCACAGCAACCGAAAGCTGGCAACTTTAACCCCCAGCTAAAAAACCCAAATCCGAAAATCCAGCATTTGATCTGAAAACTGATTTTTTGAGGACGCAACAATGGCGGACTGGGGCCCAATACTGATAGGGGTGGTGCTGTTCATCCTGCTGCAACCGGGGCTGCTCTTCGCTTTACCGGGAAACAGCAAGCAGGTGGAGTTTGCGCACATGAAGACCAACGGCAAGGCCATAGCTGTCCATACTCTCATCTTCTTCGCTCTGTACGCCATTCTCATCCTGGCCGTCCACGTCCACATCTATACCGGTTGATCCGGTACCGCTACCCTCCGCCGCTTTGGATCTCATATGTATGTTGGTCTGTCTCTCTTCTGGGCTGGCTTGTTGTAACTTAGTATTTGTACAATTTTCTTTTGAGCTCCATATAAATGTAAAGCACAAATCTGTTTTCTGACTTGAAGAAGAAGATGCAGCTGCTTGCTTATGAATTCTGCTCTGATCTGAGATATGAGAAACCCCTTTTTTTAAATTAAATTCTGTCTACCAACTAATTAAGGTGCAATTTAATTACTGTTCTTTTATTTGTTAAATGTTGTAGAATAGTGGTCTGAACTTGTTTACTTGATTGTAGCCAAGTTGGATTAGAATCTTTCTGCCAGTGGATTAGGTTAATTAGATTAGATTAGAATATCGCTCGAACTTTGAATGAGACATCTAGAGTGGTGTTCGGAATTTGAATAGCTACTCGTTTAGAAGGCTATGAATGTCTAGGCTTATTGGTGTCAAAAATCCGTTTGCTAGTCGTTGATATGCAAAATTCCAGAGTCGGATCTGTTGACGCTTAGGGGATTCATTTTGTTAAGCTTCACATTGCGCAGATAGATACGGTAGGTTCTTATCTAGAACTTTCCCCCTTAGGACGTTTGCGCATGCTTGGATGACAATAATACTCAATAAAATTGTAAGTCAATTCCATAAAATTAGGTTTATTACAATGTTCATGATGCTATAAAACTTAAACATAATGGACCGAAAACTTAGCATCACTACAAGCAAATTCATTGAGATGCTCCTTTACAATGTCCGTGTCAAGTGTGAATGTGAACCAAACCAATCATGTAGCACTACACCGTTAAACTAGGAACACAGTATAAGCCATAAGGGAAGAAGAAAATCCGAATAAGGAGTTCGTTTACAAAAAGATGAAAATATATCGCAATATAAAAAGAAAAGAACAAACTACTCCAACTATGGGTGGTGGCTGAAAACAATATGGATTAGTTGAAATGTATGTGAATACCAATTGCAATGATCAAGATGGTGATTATGCAGAAGTATATGACGGCATGAACAAGAATAGCAATCCCGCTTGTGGCCATGTTTCCGAACTCCATCACCCTATGTCTTGCCGGTAGTTGGAATAGCAGCCCGGGCGACAGGAGGATGAACAAAACAACTGCAACAACAACCGGCCCCCAATCAGCACTCATCTTTCTATCTCTCCTCTCTCTCTCTCTAGGTAAGTTGGAATGAAGAGGTATGAAAACTTTGAGGCTTCTTTCTCTCGAAACAGATAAACAGAGCGTTGTGCTGTTTCCGAATATGTAGAAGGATGGAGCCTAATGTCTTAGCGAAGAAGGAGAGACGGATGCTAAACTTAGTGAGAAAGAAGAGAGTGGGATTAAAAGAGGAGAAAGGTATTAGGAGAAGGTGGCGGATTGCTTTATGGACAGCAAAACAAAGATGTTTGCTTTCGTAAGCTTCCAATAATTGTTCGTTTCCAGAAATATCGTAAAGTAATATGTGGGAGAATGAAGTATAAAGTTGAGTTGGTATATGCACATGTTTGGAATGCTTTTCTTGTTTGGTCTAACTTTCTACAGGAAAAAGCTAGAATGCATACATCAAGGAATTATCATGTCCGCTACTTGAGTTGACTGCGGTCGATAAAGAAAACAGACGGAACTGCATAAATCGTTCCCGTGTTGTCTCATGTTGACCCGTATGTGGTAAAAATAGTGTTATATTCACGTGGGGATCAACCTCAATCAAAATCGATATTTTCATCCAAAAGTACACATGGGTTTCACAATGGTAAAGAATTTCATTTCTTAATTGTGACCGAGATTGGTAACCGGCTCCATTGTATGGATTTGATTAACGGTTTTTTTTTTACCACACTGGGGCTTACTTCTATGAGCAAGTATTCATTAGGTTTGTCTGAATAGGGCAACTCTCACACGAATTAAGGATTGTGAGATTGTGAGTCGTCATGTTTTGTAAGAGGGCCACAAATGACACGATTGAAGCATCCTTACACGAGTTTTTTTTCATATCTGTAAGAGTACTGATGTTCATAATATGTTTTTGTATCACATTTTCATACCACCGTAGGTGGCATTTGACGTAGATAGCCACATTATTTGAATTAATCAGATTTTTAATTTAGTTCATTATTTAATAAACTAATAATTAAAAAAAATAGGTTAATTAAATAATGATTGTGGTATACGAGAAGTTTTTCTCCTTCATTTTCTTGGGATTTGCAAATTTTTTAAATGATGTTGTTGTCCACATCAGATGCCACCTAAGGTGGTATAGAAATGTGGTATAAAAACATGGTATGAATAGCATTACTTCATCTGTAATTTAGCCAAACTTTTTTGGCTACAAATTAATACGATGATGTTCGAGAACAAATTGGACCCACAAATGATAACTTATTGGGCCTATGTTTAGGCCCAAGAATAATTGGATTTGGGCAAGAAACAAGAGCCCAAAATCAAATCACCGTAGCCCATATTTTCCAAAAGTCCAAACAAAAGTACCACGTAATGCCATCCAATGAGTAAAACGAGGAAGCCGTTTTTGTCCGAAGGAAAGATACCGTCGGCTGTTTTCTAACTCTTTGCTTCGTCGTGGAGGCCGGAGTATTCTACCTCTTTCTGTCTCGTTGAATTCCCATTTTGTCCCTTTCCCGCCCGGACTCACCCTTTTTATGCTCCTTCCTTCTCGTTGCCCTTTCATTTCCACTTCCACCGTACCAGTCATCGTCTTCTTTATTATTCTATCCATCAACGTTGCTCGGAGCCTCGACCTTACTGCGAAACTAGTTAGTTGAAAGCATGGCGGATTGGGGGCCAGTGGTGATAGCGGTGGTGCTTTTTGTGTTGTTGACGCCGGGGCTGCTGTTTCAGCTGCCCGGGAACAGCCGGGTGGCGGAGTTCAACAACATGCAGACCAGCGGGGTTTCCATCTTGGTTCACACCATCATTTACTTTGGCCTCATCACCATTTTCCTCATCGCTATCGGCGTTCACATCTCCACTGGCTAGCTTATATGCACGCTATCCATCTCCAACATTTACATTTTTCCGATCCGCGCGCATGCAGGGGGATGCATGAATGAATTGTTTTGTGATTTTAGTAAGAGTTGAGTGTGTTCGATGAAATTTATCAGCACCTGCTGTCTATGAATGTTACATGTTTGAAAACTTGAAAGCAAGCTACTTGGATCAGTCTCACTAATTAAGTGCGTGTTTGGTTCACTCGCGGAACTGGTTCTTCAAAAATGAATTAACATAAGCCAAAGCAAGATGAATAAAACGTTAACACATATTTTGTGCACCAAAAGAAAAATTCAACACGATATAAGCTTTTGCTGCTCGTAATATTCTCTGCAATTGTTGTCTCGATTAGAGTGATATGGTCTCCCCAACCAACGATGGTTTTGTTATAGTCGCGATAACATTGTACGTATCTTTGTACAAGACGTTATGTTTTTCATTTTTAAGGTAGATTTGACTTCGGTAACCGTGTACGAGCTTACTCATTACATCTGTTTATACAAATTATCCCTAGATCAGTATATTGGTCACTAAAAACAATATATCAATGTTGTATTCTTGTCTTGTTGATTAATAAAATATCGTTATTCCTCGTCATAAAAAAATCAATTCAATCTGGGGAGGGCTAGGCTAAATCTTGATCTGGGCCCACATATAGAAGATTTCACGTCTAAATTATGTTGGGCCATACAAGTCTCATCAATTTTGCCTTTAATTGTTAGTAACCCAACAGCCCAACACGAGAGACAGGTGTATATTGTTCCCCTTTTTTTGTTGGACCGACTGCGAAGAGGTTTCATATTCCAACACGTTCAGTCATCTTACTGATACGTGGTCACGTTTGTTTTTGAGTGGCAAAGCAACTCCACCAGCATGATGTGATCGATTTCTTAGTGGTTCATTTTCAGTCCTTCTTATTGGTTCATTTTTAGACCATACGATGTGATGATTAATGATTAAATTTTTTCTTTAAAATTTGTAAATAAGATCTATCTACCAACCGTCACATAATGTAGTTATAAAATACACTTTTTAAAGAAAAAGATTCCCATTTTATTCAAAAAAGGGGAATTAGTTATGGGATCCACTCTACAACGAACTTCAACAATCTGAACTGTCTATTTTGTAAATCTTAATTCATAGATCATACTTGAATAGGACATACTTGCTAAGATCGACATATTTCGTCCATATTTCTAATATATCAGTTAAATATAGAAAAAACTCTTATATTTCGTCTAAACCAATGTTTGACATTCTCTAAATTTTCATTTTAAATTCCTATCATTTACATCAAAAACAACCGGTATCAATATATCCGTCAATATTTTCACAAATTTACAGATATCTTCACGAGTATTAATATTTTAAACACTACATATACATACGTACCCAAATCCATAATATTTAAAATAAAATATTAATAATAAAACATAGTGGCCTTACATTACAAAGTCATGTCGGGATCTCATACAAGTCACACACGATATCACACACATAATCTAAAACACAGAGCGGCGGGGTCCACTCGGCGGGACGTCTCAGTCTCGACAGATGTCACCACAGTTGGTGGACGGGGCAACCTGAGTTATTGCCACATGTACAATATAGTACATAAGTTGCCTACACCCTTGGAAAAGTAGTCAAAACAATTGTAGTATGGTGGCCGGAACATAGTCGTCGCTGCTGCGGCTGTTGTTGGTGGTGGTGGTGGTGTTATTAGCGGCGGAAGTGCTCTGCCGATCCGCTTCCTCATCGGCAGCTCGGTCCTTGCTCTGCTGCTCCTTCAGCTTCAGCGCTGCAATCTGAAAAATTAAAGCCATCAAGTGACTGAGTACTAGGTATATATATTTAATTTGCTTTTCTGTCACAATTTCTACCTTAATTTCTTCAATAACTCCACAAATATATAATTATATTTATATACCTCATTTTCCAAGCGAACCTTCTCTTCTTTCATCTGTTTTTCCTGTTCAGATTAGAGACAGGCATAAATATTTACACCAACATATAAATTGCACCAAATTAAAATTCAGTGACATAGAAACTATGGATATATATATATATATATATGACACCAGCAGAAATTCAGTGATCAAACAACTGAGAATATAAGAAAAATATTAAGTGAACCAACATAGTCGATCTTAATGTACACACCACAAAAAAATGAAGCAACAAAAATGCAAGTCCCTGCACGAACCGTGGGTGCGAGGGAGGCATATCCACGGTACACATGGACCGCTCACGGAGAAATGTGTAACGTGGATATGCCCTCAAACAGATTGCAATTGGCAATAGAATACATTAGAACCCCTTCCACGTTACACATAAAAGTAGAGTGTCATGAATAAAACTGGCTGTGTTGGGGCCGGAAAAGTGAACTGGGGCAGGGGAAAAAGATGAGGAAGAATTGTAGGTTAGCCATAAGATTGAACAGGGAGGATCGAGTAGGGTGTCTGATGAGAGAGAGCCTAAATCTAAGCTGATACTATGTAGAAAAAGGTCTTTTATGTTTCATTCATTCACAAAGATACAACATACAATGAACCTATTGTAGAAGATTCAGTGAACCTAATCTAGAAGATTACGAAGAGATTTTGGAGAGTGAGAAAATCTCGCTAATATGGATGAGTTTGAACTACAAAACTCTACTCAAAACCTGAAGAAATACCTGGATATCATGGAAACAACAGAACTTACTAGCATCACAATTGTCCAGAAATTAATACTCTTCACAGGATTTACCAACTTCCAAAACTCAAGGACAATAGCATAACAAAAGAGAACAGACATTTCAAACATTATTGATCATCGACGAAATCCCAGCTAGAAAAAGAAACTATATATGCAGGTTTGTATTCGGAAATAGGTACTTGAGCCATTGAAACCAGTCTGAGTGAAACCATAATGCTATTTTTGGGTTCTTTTTCCATGTTCTGTCTCAATAAACCAGAATATGTACTAGTTGACAAACCTTTAGTGATCTTGTTTGTCTTAGAACTGCATCCAATTCCTTCTCAAGCTGGGTGAGCTCTGGAACATCTAGATTATCAATGTCTTGTGTTTCCATATCGCTGCAAGAACATAATCAGATATAAGTCACGTGTGTGAAATGTAATGAAGCTTCTGTACATGATACTTACCTTTTAAATATTTTCAGAACTCGGTTAGCGCCTGTGCGGAGACCACTGCTTTCTGAATTATGGTTCTGCAGCCGAGATTAGCAGGATGTGAGAAGAGACGATGTGGTAAATGATAAACCTCTATTCTTATCCTGAGAACATAGGCTGAAAGTATTGCTACTGGCTTTTGTAATTATTTTGACAGTGACACAAAACTTTTAAGTCCTAACAAATACTGTAAATTGGTTGTCTGGATCTGATACAAATGTTAAGAGTGACTTCTGTTAAAAAGACTGGAAAATGATATTTTTCATATTTATTGAGGTGCAAAGTATCGAATTTAGAGTGACAAGACATACTAGAAATTAGATCAAGGGAAAAATCATGCATGATGTAGCTTAAGATGACTAGTAGAGTTGGTTGAGACTTGACAGTTACCACATTGGCTTGGCAGAGTTTACCACATTGGTGGAGTGAAATTAGGCATGATTGGGAAGCAATTGGTACTCCCCATCTAACACAAGGGCGAGGGCTTGAGAGCATCTGGAGACTAAGAAGCGACCGCAATGACGGGCCTTGAGATTCTATCAGGAAACCTAATGGCAGGGGGTAAGTAGGCCAACCTCTTATAAGCTTATGCAAGGTTTCTTTACTCTACAAAGTGTCACATCTTCACATGCTCCTCACCTGTAGCAAGGTTCGCACAATACATAAGAACAATATCTAATTTGGAGCACATGTGGCCATATGGCTTCAAATGTTGGATAACTTATTCTATACTATGATGGAAGTTGAGATTACGGGAGAAGCAGTCTAACTCATTATAAGGATGTTTAGGATTTCTAAACTTTTTAATATGAGACACCTTTCTATATCTTCACATGTGCTTCACGTGTGACGATGATCAAGTAAAACACAGGAGCATCACATATTGAAATTGAAGGACTCGCCTGAGCAAGTGTGGCTGGGTAAGGTCAAAAGTGGGCTAAGTTGCACTTATATCATGGAAGAAGTTGAGCTTCACCCTTAACTTTCTAAGAAATAGCTTTCGCTTATCCTCACATGCCTCCAAGGTTTGGAGGCAGTCAAGCTAATCATGTGGACAACACATATGAAGTGACTTGGAGCACATGTAATTATAGAGTTTTACATGTGAGCCAAGTTGGACTCCCGAAATAAGGCTCCAACGACAAAGACTCTTGTCTATTCCTAAATAGGTTGTGACTAGAAGGAACTCATCTCATCCTCACACACCTTCTAACATTGATGAAACTTTAAGCACAATGCATGGACAAATTAACCGGGTGACCTAGAACAGGTATGGCCTTTGGGCTTCACATATAGACTAACCAACTTCGATACCATGAAGGAAGTGGAAGTTTAATCCTGAAATCAATTGGAAATAAGGGCAGAGGCCCCAACTTCTAATAAGCTCTGTGGGACAAATCTTTCGATTCTCACAGTTATGGAGTGAAACTACACATAATTGGGAAGCAATGGACAAGCTTACTTGTTCACCTGCACCTTACAAACAAACAGTGAAGTTGGGGAGGGGAGCTAATACAGGACACTTGCATAGTGGGCTGTGTTACCATGTAGACAGTGACCACAAAAGCTTAAATGGATAAAAAATTGACCAACAATATATATCAAACCTAGTTTTTAACTGAGCTCGATAACTTGGTAGATTAACATATAGGTGAATCCAATTTATGATTTCAAATTCAACACACTGTTGATAAGTATGCTTATTAATCCAATCTTGCTCAGATGGTGATTGCGTGTTTGATTCCTGGCAGGTGTCTCATACACTAAGGTTTCAAAGAAGAATACATCTTACAAGTGAAAATAACAAGAATTAACTACTAGGATATAATCCTGTTAATTTTACGCAGGGTAAAACGTTTGACTAACCTTGTCAGTACCATCAGCAGTCTTGGAAGCAGCAATCTCCTCATCATTATGTGTCTGGTAACGCTCCAGAAGCTTTTCAAAACTGAAGTAGATAAGGGTCACAAGGAAAAAATATATATATCAGAAGCCAGATTATTTTATGCACTGATTAATATGACAGAAACAAATAATCCATGATATACTTACACGACAAAAGATGCCATTTGTACGAATATAATTCATCTAACAAGTAGGATTAAATTGAAATAAAACATCTAGGGCTAGTGATTAACAGTAAATTAAGAAATGTGGAATTTCGTAGTTAAGTCTAATTGTCAAGAAGCATGAAAAAACACACACGCCCCAACTCCAAAACCCTATCTTGAGTAAGTTGAGGTTTCACCATAAATCCAATTGGCGATATGATAAGTAGACCAATTACTTATAAGCACATGCAAAGTTCCTACTTTTTTCGATATGGGATTGTTACTCTCAACATGCCCCCTCAGGTGTTGTGGATTTTTCAAATAAGGTGACATTAAGAGCGTGTGGCCGTTGAGCTTTACACATGAGACAATCTACTATGATACTATGAAGAAGTTGAGGTTACACCACAAACCAATTGGGAATATAGGAGTAGGCCAATTACTTATAAGCACATGCACAATATCTCATTTTTTTGATATAAAATTATTACTCTCAACACACACTCGTATAGAAAAGGAGGCCTAGGGCTGGCTATGTAATATATATGCTCTGTATATCCAAAACAAACTTCGTCGTTAAAAACCAGAAGTTTAAAGTTCTGAAAATTTAAAATTCTGATCAGATAACCTTTATGATATTATGAAGCCCTAAAAGGGTCCACTCCTTACTCATGTCAAGCATTTCAATGATCTTTAAAACAGAAAAAAAAAAAAAAAAAAACGAAATCGGCTTACTGTTCCTAATAATGGAGTTCATGCATGTGAGATAACAAGGGATTTAGAAGAAAAAAAAAAGATAAAAATGCACTACTTAATATTAGTATGAGGAATTTGAAATACAGTATATGATCGTTATAACGACAAACAAAGTACTAAGAAATGACTCATATAGTGTAACCATTTGTACATCTTTTGTAGTCATTCAAAGGCATGTCTCGTATGCTAATGACCATTCCAAGTGATTTGAAAATCCTTCTCACATACATTTATAATACCGACGTAGTATATTTCTAAACCTCTACCTCTCCCATTTCATAGTCTTTCTCTTACAATTCGGCCTCGATCAATTAGAATTACTTGCAAGTTCATCACACAAACATAACCTTAATGCATTGTATCTAACTCATTCAAAATCCGTCGTCTAATATGTTGTAGAGCATTTCTAGCTAATATAACCTAAATTGCTTGACACTTGCAAATTCCTAATCCAAGCATAGCCTAAGTCACAATCTTCACATGGCGAGCTTGGAGCTAGCTATCCCAATTCAAAATGTCATTCGCAATTTAAATGCTAGCTCCTTCGTGGCCCAAAAGCATTAAACTCCAAAATCCAATTGCCCTCAAGTGAGTCCGGACCTCAAGCGTTGTCATTGCTACGATTCCATTTGTTGCGAGAAAGCTAGTGAATGAGTTCGACCACGAATATTCACAAACTTGTGGAAAACCGAATGGAAATAAGAGGTAGGTCAAAGCTTCCTTTTCTATTGTAGAAAATTCAAAACACAGACCCTCTCATGTGGAGATTAAGAGTCTAACACGTAAAAAACGTATTAAGTGATGATTGGACTCAAGAATAGCAACTTTGATACTATATTAGATTGTGAGTATCTAACCTAAATCAATTGTCAAGAGCAAAAAGGTCAAGATAAATAAGCAATGAAGATAAAGCTTCTTTTTTCATGGTGGGTCCACTCTCCAACACATGTCCATATTCCCTTCTAATTTAGCCATGTTCCAAATAGATATGAAATTCTAACCTATGAACCTTGACATTTGTGTGTGTCCTTCTTGAGAGTATCTCACCTTAAAGATGAAAGTTTGGCATTAGGTATTAAAAGGTCCTTTGGACCTCGTCGCGATTGCCAATTGTATTTTAGATGCTTACACTATAATATATATAGTAGGTTAAGCACATGTTAGGTCGAACAAAAACACTTGCTCCTAGGCAAGTGAGAGTTGTGGCATGCTGGGAGTATCTTTTGCATTAAGTACTTAAAAGAACTTGACGTTTCCACGTATTTCCAATTGATTGTGCATTAAGCGTTTATAATCTAACTTGGTATCAGAGCTAAAATTGATAGATATCCTTGAATTGAAACATGATAGGAAACAATAGGGACCAAAACAGAATAAAATTGAACCAATAGGGATAGAAGTAGAATTTTGTTCTACAAAGAATGACATTTGGTGGATGTTAACCCGTATGAGTTGGAAGAATCTCCAAAGATCGATTTTAGCTCTTTGGGAAAAGAGGAAATGAGTTTCATGACAACATGTGTTTTGTGTCTTTTTCATTACTTTCTCAATCCTTTATTAACTAGTCTTTTCATCCATTTTCTTTATTTTTTATGGGAGCTCTTTCTTGTATCCTTGTTGTAGGTTTAAAGTTGCCCGACTAATTTATGCGACTAGTGTTTTCATAAAACCTCGTGTAGCCATTTAGTATTACAGGTCTAAAATATTCTTCTTCACTTGTAAGTGTTTTAATATTATTGCTAACCATTGTGAGGTTAAGCACACTCCTTCTCTCTAGTATAGATAATATCGTTTATTAAAAGAAAAAAGATATTAAAAACTCATGACGGCTGCTCTCTCTCTCTCGATTATGAGACCTATATATTAGACATTTCCCTAGGAGTGTCCAAGAAAGATAGTGCCTACAAAGCCTATACATGTAACTATTAGAAGAATACGAATTTTAGGTATTCACCATTGCATGCATTATGAGACAGATGCTCAAGGTAAAAGGAATAGAGAAAGATCTAGAAAGACTTGCAAGGAGACTTTAAGAAAAGACTTGAAGTATTTGGAGCTAACTGACGACTTGGCGTAAAATCGAGCGCACTAACGTTTTAGCATTCATACAACTATCCCCACTTAGTAGAATAATACCTTGTTGTTGGTATTTCACCATTCCAAGCATATGGTAAATCCCCCAAGAAGGTTATAATAAGTGACATATGCGATTTTACTCTCAATGTAATGTGAATGCCATGACCATTACGGCAACACTTCAAGATAGACGGGCCAAGGATGAAAACTTGATTCAATGGAGAACTGATGGATCAAATAGTTGGGCCTAATCCCTATACTGCACCACTGGAGATGAACATCAGATCTAAACTTCACATTGCAGTTAAATGCATATTTTTAGTGTTTTAGGAATATCTAAAATCGCTTTCAGATGATGAGTGAAGTTTTAATAATGTGTGACATGAAAAGCTAATGCTTTTACATTTTAAAACCACTTATAAATGCTTTTATGAAAAAAACAACTAGCAAGTGCTTCTTCAAGAGTTCCAACTGCATTTTTAAGAAGCACTTGAATTTGATAGAACTTTTTATTTGCTTCTAATAAAAGTGTTTATGAGCAAAAGTACTTTCTGAAGGAATATTTTTAAACGGGTTCTAAGTTTGGGGCAACAATAATTTAAATAGTAGACCAAAGGACATTCTCGACGTGGTATGCAATCGAGTACTTGGATTGGAGAATATTGTCTCACATCATAAAGTTAATAAACCTTGTAAGGGCTTTAGAAGGAGTTGGACTATTCTTCAAATTTTCTTAATTGTATTGTAATACTTTGGCTCACGTGTGAAAACAACAGTCACACATACTATATACTACCTAATATGTGTTGTCAACAGTCACATGTGCTCACTCATTTAATATGTGTTGCCACGCATTTGGTTTGAGTGTAGTCACATGTTACTGTATGTGTGACGTTGTTAACAATTATACCACATAAGGTTATGTAAAAACCTTCTTGTCATCCAAAGGTTTATATAAGGAGCTAAGTTGATCCCTCTAATTAGTTGTTTTAAGGTAGAACGTCAACTTCTTTCATAGTATTAAAGCAAGTTGATCATGTGTGAAGCCTCACAATCCTCTATGCTCCATGTCATTAATTACATTGTCTATATTTTAAGCTTGAAAATTAGCGAACACATCAATAAGTGTGTGAGGAGTTGAATTATTCCTCAATTACTATTTGTTTTGGTTTTACTCGACGCCAGATGGCAAACTATGAGGTATGAGGTCAAGCTAGGACGCTGACTATGTCAGTGGATTATCATCATACACATTATTTAGATGCATGCATAACTTATCTACATATATATTGTATTTTATGAAGTATAAGCTTAAAGTTCTTTCCTATAAATACTAGTTAATTTCACATTTATAGTCGGATCATATGTAATAGACGATTTTTTTTTTTTTTTAAAGGATTGGTTTTCAAAAAAAAAGAAAATTTAAAAGGATTTATAAAAGCTTTTTTTTTTTAGAGAAAATTAATTAGATTGTCATCTTTATAGTAGATTTTATTTATTTATTTATTTTTTATGATGATGCCATATCCAACATAAAAAACAATGAGAAGAGATCCTCTCCGGATCTCTTTCACCAAGGCCACAGGATCAAGTAATCCGAACCTTTCAAATTACATCCTACGGCCTACTTGTTTTGACCGTTGGATGAAATTTGAAAGGTCCGGATCACTTGATCCGGTGGCCTTGATGGAAGAGTTTCGGAGAGGATCTCTTCTCAAAAACAATGATGCCATTGATTTTGATCCTTTCTTTTAGGTATGTTGTTAATGCAAAAAATCGAATTGATTTTGGAACAACGTAAAGTGTGAAGGTATATGATCTTCGAAAGGTTACTTCTATCACCAAGTATAAGTATTATGTAAATAGAGATAGGAAAGCAAACGCAAGATATATGTAGTTTATCTTAAGTTGGGCTATGTCCACGAGGGTAGAGGAGTTGTCATTAATATTCAAGCACAATCACCATTAGTGAGTTCTAATAATGAATTAAGTAAAATAATAGCATTAGGGATTAATTTATAGGACAATAGTCTCCTTTCATAGCTGAGGAGAGTCACATGTCCGCTGTTGATGTGAGACTAGGATTTTTATTCTGATGTTGACACATGTTGCGTTGTGGTTGGCCTTTTGGTTGGAGAGAAACTCTTGTGCTTCGGCGACACCCCCTCAACACGAATCCTTCAGTGGGTCTCTGAAGGTATAAAGTTGATCGGTGTCGGTAATTTCGAGAGTACTGTTTGTACCATACTTCACCAATCTCGAAACTACCAAGCACCGGTCAACTTTATACATTCAGAGACCCACTGAAGGATTCATGTTGAGGGGGTGTCGCTGAAGTACAAGAGTTTTTCTCCAACCAGGAGACTAATCACAACGCGAAACGTGTTAACATTAGAATAAAACTCCTAAAGTCCACACTGACCGCGGACGGAAGCATGCGACTCTCCTCAACTATAAAAGGAGCTCATTATCTTACAATTAATTATAATGCTATTATCGTACTTAATTCATTGTTAGAACTCATGAATGATGATTGTGCTTGAACCCTTGTATCATGTAAATTCTACAATATTAGTGAAAACTGCTCTACCCTCGTGGACGTAGCCTAACTTAGGATGCACCACGTATATCTTGTGTTTGCTTCCCTATCTATCTCTTTACACACTTGGTGACTGAAGCAACCTTGCAAATATCATACCCTGATACTTTACGTTGTTCCAAAGTCAACTCGATTTTGCACATCAACATATATTATAAGAATATACAAGTAGATTTTGATCTTCGTCCTTTGTCTTGGGTATATTATTACGATATATAGAAGTAGATTTTGATCTTGGTCCTTTCTTTCCTAGGTATATATTTATAACACTACGTAAGATTTTATTGAACTTTATAAACTTATGTACCTTCGCCCTTCATAGAATTGACTACATCTTTCTTCTTTCTGCAGAAAGAGTTGATGTTTAAATTCTCGTAGTTAACATCATTATACAAATATCTTTACTACAGGGCAACTTTAATATTTTTATTTTTTTTTAATTTTTAAATTCAAGATGGTTAACAAAGCCGAGAAAGCTAATTAATTACTTCTTAGACGCAAAAATCACCAATAATCGTGCAAATCGAACGAATAGACGTAGACCTTCACCTCCTATTAACCCTATAATACGATATCAGATATGCTTAAAAGTAGACATTGACTGCTCTGATGGTCCATTCTACTACGTGCTTCGCCAACTCACGTCATGCCGCGAAACAAACTTCAACTCAGACATGCTCACGACGTGCATGCATGGAAACTTTTCCTTATCAGCTCAACATATCGTCCTATACTATTTCAGTGAATTATCGAATGAATTCTTTCATGCACTGAAAATACTACTTGACATGTTGACGTGGTGTTATAAATTCACTCGCAAACTAATTCGACTTACAGTACATACAACAATTAATACATGAGTGTGTACCATAATCTCGACATACAATAACAATTATCACACACAACAACGTCCTATCGGATCAAATGTTGATTATATTGAATATTCGCTATTTTAGATACCTATGAGAGCTAGTATTACTTCCTTTTCCACATTTTGGATTCCATATCACATCGTGTTCCCAAATTAGATGTGATTAGACAATCTATGAAAGGTTGAGGTACGTGATAAGTAGTGGATGATAAGATGAGGTATGCAATAGAGGGCAATGTTCTATTGTCCTACTGGAGTCAATAATCAAACTGTACATTTGAACCACACATTATTTAGGTAAGAACTCGATACAAAGAAAGGGTAGATATACATAGTACGCGTCTTCACTATCTTATTAACTATATCTACAGTACTCATATAACAGCAATTCGGGTCCTCCACAGGCCCCTTGAAGAGAGTGCTGCTATGTCCTACTCTAAGGACACTACTGTCGGTAGTATAGTGACATGCAAACATATTATAGAGTAGTGGCGGCTCTGCTAACCCATATTTTAATACTTACTTTAATTACTTTAATGATGACCATCTTTCGATCGCTTCAATCTCAATATATATATTAGGTAAAGATGTTCACGTTATCAACGGTTGACGATGGATGCTCCAGTTATTCTGTTGTATGCTACACACACCATAGTGTTGTACATGCATGCATGGGATGAGGTAACAGATGATGATGATGATAATGATGATGATGATAATAATAATAATAATAATACTGAAAGCTAAGTTAGTGGGATATTTGGTCCAATGGCGACCATTGGAAACGTAGGATAGGAGAAGGCTGGAAATTCAGAATCCGAAACCCTCACTTGTAACCAAAGGACAAAGTATATCTGTAAGCAAGGACAAAGAATATCGAAAGCTAAAGATATACGGGAACGATATTTGTTCTTTCAAATTTCCATCCATATCCCCAAAGGGACGAGGACATACACAAACTAAAATTATACAGAAGTTGTGAACAGAGGACACAAACAACAACAGAAAATAATAAAATAAATAAATTAAAATAAATGGATCCATTGATTGGTAAAATTTTTAATTACATAGCAGCCTAGCACTACAGATGGATACATACAGAAGAAGGAAGAAAAGATCATTCGAGAGCCAGCTGGCACGTTCCTATTTGCTAAAGAATTATGGCGGTGGAAACTTGGAAGGAAGAAGAAATTAAAGGGTGCGTACCTCTCGGCGCTACAGAACTCGTAGAGCCTCCCCTTGGCGGAGAAGATGACGAGGCCGACCTCCACGCTGCAGAGCACGGACAGCTCACGTGCCTTCTTGATAAGCCCGCTCCTCCGCTTGGAAAACGTCACTTGCCGCCTGATCTTGTCGGCGATTGGCTTCAGCTGCACCTTCCCTCGCCCCATTAATTACTTGCTCTTTGCTTGATCTCAATTTCTGTCTCTCTCTCTCTCTCTTGTTTCTCTCTCTAGTTTCCGGGAGCGAAATGTAAAACCCTAACCCTAGAAGCAGCAGCGGATTCGAAAGAAAAGAAAAGGAAAGAGGGGTTTCTACTGATTATACAGAAATTAGAATCCCCACCGGCTTGCTCTATCTCTGATAGCTCAGTCAGTCGGTAACTCCTCCCAGCCGTTGCTTCTTGCTTCTTGTTGTACTTGTGTTGTTGGATACCATTTCCATTCGAGGAATTTACCGTTTTAACATCAAAACTGACCGACCCCGTCTCTCTTCTCCCTTCTGTAGCTTATTCAACTCGGCTGTGTCGACTCGGTTCGACTCGGTTCAGATATTTTGAATGGAGGATACTACTCAAAAGAAAGAAAAAGAGAGAGAGATATTATATATATAGTGGGAGAAGCAGAGGATAGATACTCTCGGAGATATTGGCAGGCGTACTATATAACGTGTCTTTATTTGAAACACCAACTAAAGCTGAATTAATGTAAAATATTACTATTTTGGTTTCTAGGACAAAATTGGAAATGTACCATGGCAAAATAGGAAAGCTATGTTTTTGGTGTTTGTGTGGATATTTAATGTGTCTTGGTGAGAGTGAAGGCCCAACAATACAAAAAGCAAAGGGAGGATTGGGCTCGGATAAGGTAACAGCCCAAGAAGAATTAAAAATTATTTTTGCTAATAAATAGGCAACAAGCCTATGTTAGAAGTGATAAGTGACAGAGGGCAGCTCATCCCAGCAAAAAGTACTTTTTAAGGGTATGGATGGGTAAATAAAGTGATGACTCACCACGTTCCGAAGGACATCACCAAAAGGCAAAGCTTGGACAGGCAGGCTAAAATGTTTATAAAAGCAGCAAGGGATCCCAAAGACAATAACACTCAACTAATCAATCAAAATACATCCCACTTTACTCTCAGAAAAGAAAGAAAATAGAAAGTTTAGTTTGTCCAAACTTTGTTCTTTTAGTCATACATTCACCAAACTTTGTCCAAATGTTCATCGTACATTGTACGACTAGTTTTCGTTAGGTACTATTTGTATTTAATTTTAAATAATAAAATTCAAATGATTTATGACTGCTCGATGTACGATGAATGACTCATATATGAGGGTCCCTAGGATCTCCACAATTTGGATCCGAATGAGATCCAAATCCGTTATTTTATTAAAAGGTAAACTTTCTATTTGGTTTCAGCATTGTGCAATAAAAACAAAAGTAGTCTGATCACGTGATTGGTCTAATAGTTTTTTATTTTTATTTTTTTGAATTAAGTAGTATTTGATAATGTACAATTCTTTATGTACAATGTGGATGCGAGCTGGGCGCCTTCTTCCGCCTCGGCGTTTGTTAGAGCGGTTGTAGGGGATTCTGATGGTATGTTTGTGACAACATGAACGTATATTCTCCATGCTTCTTCTGTAGCAATTGCAGAAATGGTGGCAGTTCTAAAGGGGTTTGAGCTGGGCATTCCCTTGGGCTTAAATTCGGTGATTATTGAGTCCGACTCACTAAAATCTATCTCTTGGCTGAGGAATGTTCTGACAAATGGTAGTTGGGAGGCCTTTCCTGCTTTGATCAAGAGCAAGAAGCTTGGAAAGTCATTTCAAGACTGTCGCTGGTCTTGGATCCCAAGATCAGTCAATATGGCAACAGACCATCTTGTGTCGCGACAATGTCGGGAGATGTGCGATTACACCTGGGTCAATCGGGCCCCATTTCCCTTGTTCATGTACTTAACAACGATAGGCTTCCATGCCCTCCTTAAACTTTTGTATTGGTAATGCAAGGGGTGACGTGTTAGCATAGGTTGCAACGTCCTTTCAATCTGCATCCCCTTGCATTGCCCGACTTTATTTTTTAGCTAGTAGTTGCTTGCCTCTATGTAGGCCTCGTTTGTAAATTTTTAGCATCTTTGCCTTGGTAATGCGATTTCCAGTTCACCAAAAGAATTTCAATCTTATGTGAGTGTTGATCAATTACATGTTCAATCGGTTCTAAAAATTTATAAATATACTACTAGGATTGCACCGAAGTATTAAATGTATATCTGTTTGAATAGTTAGATTAGAATTCACAAACATCATTTGTGCATATCTAGCCGTCTAATAAACCTTTTATATTGTGCCTTGTTTACTTTTCGTTTATTACTGCTTTTTATTCTTTCAAGCGATAATAAACAGGAAAGGGGAATTAAACTCAAACTACCGGTTCAAATGTGAATATTCTAAACGAGCAAAGCTACAAATCTTTTTGAATGCATGCATTTGATACATAAGATTGACTTGACTTGGACTAATTGTATAGATTGGCTTGGATTAGTTTGGCATGGGTTGAGCCGGTTAATTTAAGACTCATTTTAAATGACTTAAAATAAGTTCACATGACATAAAGAAAGGTGTAATTTTAGTTTATTCAAGCGTTTTTTTAACTCTATGTTTGATATTGCTTAAAATTAGTATTTTTACAAAATGAGATGATTATGCTAAACAGGTGAAAAAAAAAATTAGTTACGAACTCATTATTCTCGAAATTCATTCTGAAATCTTATACTAAATTCGATAAATTGATATACTACCTATTGCAAATTTTTACAATTTTAATCGAAAATAACTGATATTAGTATATTCATAAATTTACATAATGATATTTTCATTTATTCGATATTTTAAACAAGCTTTTGTCGCATCAACCACGTCCTCATCCTTTTCCATATTTACGTGTACCAAATTTTATCCTGTTTTGGGATTGGCCGTAGGTTGTCGTGGTCGCGAGCATGGAGTCCAGATCAGCTGTGCCCAAAGACCCTCTGCCCACCCTGGTGTCCTTCTTTCCACGACATCTTCTCTCCTTACTCTCCCAACTCGATCTGCACGGTGCACACCAAATATCTTTTGCTGCTTTCCCAGTCCATCCCTATCAGGGTGGAAACCCCACTTAAAATTGGCCTTGAATTCCTGAGCTTAGATATTTTTCTATATTGGTGGTCAAACGAGATATATTCTTACTTACTTTAACTATTTGTAACGGATATAATATGGTGTTTGATTGACTAAATTGAGATTATAAAATTTATCGTCTAATACAGATGCGTAAAAATTTCAACTATAAAATTTAATTATGTAGAATTTATCGTCTACTACAGATGTGTAAGAGTTTAAAGGCCTAAAATCCAATTATGTTATGGTTGTCATAGTTCATAAGTTATTTGTAAAAATATTCTTTCGCATGGACAATCGTTACTTATATGCATAAAATACAGATAAAGATACCCTGTACACGAGGTTTTCTATGGTGTTCCAGACAGCCAAAAAATATACCGGTTTGTAGTATGTACACTTGGCGTTCGACTGGGGGTATATGGCATGTGATCTTGGAATGAATCGATAAAGGAAGAAAGAGAAAGGGCAAACGTATTCCTGAAGTTATGTCAAGAGAGAAGGCGGTAGGACAAAATTCCATGACTGCGGTTTTTGTTGAATTGGACTGACGCCGGTGATGTGTATTTTAGGGTTAGCCCAACATTTGGCGCTGGCATACACCAAGGCATGATTGTTTTTTGGACCCCATGGTCAATTTGGGCCTATTGCCGTCCATCTCAGTGGCCGGATTCACAGCCCAATAGGTCATACAAGAAAAAATGTTAGGTTTAATTGACATTGCATATCATTTTGTGCACGCTGTCCAATTGACTGTGTGATGATTCGGATGGTATTGTAAACTTTGAGACTCTTATATGGGATATTATGTTAGTTACGTGTTGCATTGTATTGATAGAAAAACTCATCAATTTGATGATGATTAAACGTTTAAAGAGATAAAATGTATAAATTGTACAATGACGGAAATTGAAACGACAAGATTTTTTTTTTAGAATTTACGAATTTTCTTGTTTGGTAAACTTAAAAGAACAATGGAATTGAATACGGAATTTGTTATTTTTAAACTTTCATTCATATAAATTAAAAAATGACACATATTTACATGAAATTTAAACTTAAGAATTGGAGGTCCCAAATTCCAAGTTTTTTTTTCACGCAAAAATTCCAAACATAGTGTAACTTTGCAAGAATATTGGGTTACTTTCCATTGCTAATTAGTTTTGATGGTTGTGGCTTTATATCCTTTTAATTAATCCATCCTTGGGCTAATATAGTTCGTTTGACACGAATATATGCTTTCACAGAAGTGGTAAGAGAGGTAGCTCCTAGTATTTAGAAAGTGAACCAATAAGGCAATAATTTAACATCAACTTGGAGTATCAACGTAGCTGCAAATTGCAATAGCTTGAATCGTAATAAGTTGCATGTTCTAGCAGCTTATTCGGCCACCGTGATCTTTGTGGTTTGATCGAATTTTTAACTTGAAAAATCGTCAATTTAATCATTATGTTTTAGTGTACATATTCCTGTTTTGATCGTTTGTCCAAATTCAGTAATATTAGTGTGCTCATGTGTCGCACATAAATGAGCACACATTAAAATAAATAAGGTCAACTTAGGGAAAAACAATCATTATTACCAATAGAAGAGACACAATGATCAAATTAATAAAAAATAATTAACCTGAAGAATGAACTGAAAACCAAGTAGTACCGAAAAGATTTTTTAACCTAAAATTGTAGGGTAGGACCGTAAGATCCACAGCCTAAAGAGTAAAAGGAGAGGATAATGTGCGATTCTTAATTCCACTTTAGAAAGAAAAAGCAAAAGTAAAGAAAATAAATCATTACGATGTTTCATTTTCACCCATTAACTTTTCAACTAAGAATTTAAAAACTTTAATAGAAATTCTTTTGTCGAGCTCCATATTTTTCATTTTCGCATATTAAGTTATCACGAAATTGAATTCAAAGTTGTCCTAAATTCCGAATAAGTTTTTTTTTTTTTTTTTAACTATAATAAAAAACACCTGGTAGTGTTCACTCAAATGAAAAATCTTATTTTTACACTAAAAAATGAATTTTGGTATTATTCATTTTATCCTTAATTTTGTCCTTATCGTTAAAATTCAAAGTTTTCAAACCCTTTTCATTATTTTTTTTTTATTTTTATTTTTTGGGTTTGAAAAAGGAGGCTAAATGATAATAGCCCAAACAAAGCTATTTAATGGTTAACATAATCCCTTTCTCTCAGTGGTGAGAGTTTTTCTCACTTTAGTGTGAGGTTTTTAATCTTCAGAAATTTACAGTGGCGCCGATCCTAGCTTTAGCCGGGATCGGTCGCCTTTCCCCCCTTTCTTTCTTCCTCTTATTTCTTCTTGGTTTCTACAGTGTTGTCCCTCTTATTGCTTCACTAATGTCTTCAATTCCTCTGCCCTTGTGGGTATCCCTTTCTCCTAAATAATTACTATTCCGAACTTTTGTCATGCATACTGTTGAGAT